TGGAACACCTTAAATCATGGCAGGCATGCTATGAACTCATAAAATCTACACAAGAGAGACAGAGGGAGTAAAAGTGTTTTTATTAACCACGGTGGGGTTGTATTAATTAATCCAATTCCCCTGAGATGCAGTATTGTCATTTCAGGAACAGCAAAGGGTAAGGAAAAATGTGACTCGGGCGCTAAATGGAAAGGTAAGAGCAAAACAAAAAGAAAAAAAAAATGTGCTGGTTTTGATGGGGCTGAGATAGAAAGCAAGGATGGTAAAGGTGCAGTGATGGATGTGTGCCGTGGTATCGATGCACAAATGTGTTCTTAAAGCTCCACCGTGAATAATGCATTAACAACCTTACTGTCAGTGGAAAGAGAAGCAGAGAAGTCGGTATGGACCAGAAAAGGCTCTTTGGTGGCCAAGTGGATAGAAACACAAGGTTTGAAAAAGACAAAAAATATCCTTTTTATATTTAAGTTATAGCCAAATAAAGACTTTGACAGATTCAATCAAAGGGATTATATACAGTTGAATCTTACAAAAGTAGCTTATGGTTGTGAAATGGAAAGAAAAAAAGAATCCCTATTTTCAAAAGTTGTACAAATAAAAATCTAAAATTTGCAGGGATCATTCGGCCTGAGTGAATAATTTGCTGCAAGTCCCACTGTAGGTATTTCAGTCAGCTTTGTAAAACTCGAGACCAAAATTTTTGTCCACTCTTGTTTGTAAAATAGCTCAGTTGGTCAACTTGGATTAAAGAGCAGCTCTGAACATAAATTATTAGGTTCTGCAGTGGATTTACTTTGCACTGGACGAACTGAAGAGATGAGTTCCTTTAACTAGACCGTTGCACTGTCGCTCGACTGAATGTTTGGGGTCATTGTCCTCCTGAAAGGTGGATAATCTGTGTCCTTATTACGATTTGTGCAGCTTTTAAGAAGCTTTCTTCCAGAATTGCCTTGTATTTAGCTCCATCCATCTTCCTGACCAACTCTGTCTCTGCTGATGCATCCCCACAGCATAATGCTGCATAATGCTGCTGCTGCTGCCATGGGCAAGTTTTTTTTTTTTTTTTCTCCTCAGTTTTTTTCTCTTCATATGTCACTTCTGGAAATGTGAAAACTAGGATTGAGCGGTTTCGAGATAAAAACTGAAATTTAATTTTGGTCATTTTAAATTAAGAGTAATTTAAGGTTTCCACTGAAACACAGGCGAACAGTTTTGTAGATCTGTCTAAATCATATTTTCATCTTGTTTCTTTAATTTAAGAACAAAGTAGAAGCATAAACAAGGGTGATGTTCAGGGTTTATATTGGGGTTTGTCAGTCCATTATGCTTTTGTTTTGTAGAAAATACAGAAAACTAGGTTATTCGTGTTATCTGCAACTTAAAACCTTTTCCGGGAGGACTGGACATTGTCTGTTTTTTTTTATTTTTATTTTTTTTATTATTAATTTAATTTTTTGGGAGCAGTTACTTTTATCGAGTATTTTAAGACACTTTGATTGAATTCAAATCATACAGAAAGCCAACCTGGAGGTCACCTTTCTATCTTTTGCTGGTTTTCTCTTTCTGGCACCATCACAAAATGTTATTCTGCTGTAATTTAAAGCGTCATTGGCTGACTTTGATGCAATCTGGCTGCAAATCAGTAACCCCAAATCTGAAACCATGGATCTTCCCTGAGAAGTAGGGCATGTTCCCTTCATTTAAAGAAGGAGAGTCTATTTCAGGCGAAGCAGATTAAGTATTCTGGTATTTGCTCAGGTGTGGCTCTAAAAAGGTAAAAACCAGAGGGTGAATGTTTGATATGTAAAGCTATAACAATGTGCTCAGTGATGATGAATAGAGTTGAGCCATGAAAACCTTTTGTCTTGCCAGACTTCTCACTTTCCCTTTGTACCCTAAACTTTGGCTAAAGAGAAAAAGCAGTTCTGGCACCTTTTTGTAGTGTTTACAGAAAAAGGTCTCCATCTACAGAAACTCTAGGCATATTGGCAAACATTTTTGGGTTGTCCTTTTATTTACTGGAAGGATTTGATGCTGTGCTCTGGGAGCAAATAGGAGATGAAAGAAATGGCTACAGATGTTGTGGAGATTTATCTGTTCTCCTTGCTGAGTTCTTGATGTATGAGGTTGAAAAAGAGTCAGTGAGTTGAATTCGTGAATTCCATTTATTGATAAAATAAATAAATATTTTGGTATTAAATACAGCTGGTCCATTTCTCATGCTTCCTTTATGAGTTAGCAAGACAAAATGGCAAGCAAGAAGACTTTGTGATCTGCTTTGTTACTTTCTATCTAAGCTAGGGCGTTCCCTAGTGTGTTGTTTCCTCTAACCCTTGCTCTCATTTGCATTTCCTAACATGTCATATATTGTAGGTTATGCTCAGCAACTCGCTAAAAGAGATAGAAGGAAAACACAAAATTATGTATTCTCAACAATGAGCTGTCCCAAGCTCCCTAAATGATTCTCAGAACCCTGAAGAATTTCACAGTATCTATAGAATTAAATTTATGAAGTTTTGTGGAAGATTTAAGGACTAGATTATGTGCAGTACAATCCCACGTCTTTGCTGTTACGAAAATAATAGAGTGTCCTTTTTGAAACTGAATTTGAAGTTAAATTTATAACAGACGTTTGGACAACTCTTCCCTGGTTTTATGCTTTGTGCTTCACATGAGAATGGGAATTAAAGCTGCAGTTTGTAGCTTTTATAAAAAATAAAAACTGTTTACATATTTGCTAAAACTATCACTATGTCCTGACAGGATGAGACAGCTAATAGGTGAAGAACAAATCAATCTCCTCTGCCTCCTCCTGGTGGCCCTACTGCCACCTGCAGAAATAGAGACGACCAATCAGAGTCAGCTGGTGTATGCGCTGCCCATACCTCCCTCTTGCTTTCTGCTAAGCTACAGCTGGTTCCCCACACCACAGCTTGTATGCTCAGGCTAACGAGTGACTGCGCTTAGACCTAACTCTTAGCTCTGATTGGTTGTTTCTGACTGAGCAGTGTATTTCTGCAGACAGCAGTAGGACCAGAGCAGCTCAATTTCTTTTTTTTTTCAGATTGTCACAACATGCAGACGGCTTCCGCTTAAGCTGTCTGCATGTCAGCTTAAGGTAGTGTCGGTGTTGCATTCAAACCAATAAGATATGTCCGAATTAATAGTGATTGCTTTATTTTTGTAAAATCTTTCTATGAAGTCATCTAACAAAAATGTTAAGTTGTAATTTTTTTAACAGTTGCTACTTTAAAAGCAGAGTGGATTTATTCCCCTCACAATCCCACCGTAACGGTTACATTTATGGAGAGTAGACTATCTTTTGTGGCATCGCTAACAGGCAGAAGATAATTATTTTTCTGCGCTGCCTGTGCTATCTGTGTAACGCGATACATGTGTAACTTCACAGCTTCGAACCTTTGTGTTTGAGCTGTGCTTTGGATCTTAAAAACCATCCACTCTTCAGTGCTGCAGCATTATAACTATGGTTTCAGAAAAGGTCCTTGAAGGGTCACTATCCTGCAAAGTAATGCTGCACACTCTTTTTGCCAGCGATTGCATCACACAGCTGACATAAACTAATAAGTAGCTGCATCTGTGACTAGTTTTCTTTATTATTCATCTGTAATCGTAGAGCAAGATGGATTTGAGTTTACAAATATTTGAAGGGGAAAAGATCTGCAAACGAACAGATTGTTTTTGAAGTTGTGTTCTGTGGAGCTCGAATCTACGGTCAGTACCTCACCTGCGGAGTTAGGCTGCATCACATCACTGCTGTTCTGAAACAATTTTATTCTCAAAAACTATAGAAAGGTTTTGGCGTTTGCACATAGTGGTTTTCTACATAGAATCTTGTGTGTATTTATAAGAAAGCCATAATTATCTAATTCCCCAGGAAAATACTGTGAAAATAACTCCAAATAGTTTTTGTTTTTTTTTGTTTTTTGTCACATGGCACAAACATCTAGAGGCTGTTTGAATGGAAGAAATTAACATTCATATCATTTAAAAAATACAAACTAAAACAGTTATTGTTTTCAGATGATATCTGTTGCATGTTTCTTCAGAGTCACTCTCGTGTCACAACTGGGCTTGCAAAAAAAATTCTTGACTGACTCCTTCATCTGTCTCTCAGCAGCCTGCGTCCAAAGTTTCTGTGGTAACCAACTGCTGCACTGGTTGATGTTGGGATAATTCTGAAAAAAAAAACTTTCTCACATCATTAGGTTTATTTCTAAACCAGTTTTGAGGTGTGATTAGATCACTTTCCCATCAAGATATGCAGTTATGTTAAAGCTTCAAATATCTAGTTCTTGCTTGTTGTGAGGTTAAGGAAACTGGAGGAAATCCTACATTTTTAATGTTCTGTTGTTCATGCCAGTACCAATGGCAGCAAAACACCCCTAAAGCATGATGTCATCTCTACCAACAGAAGTTGTTTCTGTGTCTCGCATTTCCTAAAATGTATTTTTACTACAAGAGTTGCAGTTGCTCATGAGTGCATATTTAAATTTTTCTACTAGATGACTGAAAACTGAACAGAATCACATAATTTTCACTCTTGAGTGCAACGTTTTCGCTTTACGGAGGTCAAATTGCAACTGTAACTTCAAAACTGTGAGCATCTTGGTGCTTTAACTATCAGCTGGCTGCTCCAGGAAGGCCCCCCATCTATCACCAAGGCCTAATTCAATCAGGGCCGGCTTCTCAATCAGCAGTGGGTTGGCTGCTGCTTCTGGCCAGTCACCATGCCACCGGCGGCAGCTCCAACACACCGACGAAGACGCGCTCAGGAAGGACGGAAGGAAAGCGGAAGGGAACGAGCGCGGGCATAGTCAGAACGAGATGTCAGTGAACAAGCAGTCAGGGTGTGAGAAGTGGGGTTAAAGGAAAACCAAATGCTTCAGCTGCCACTTGTGTATGAATGATGTCCCTTTGTTTCTGTGCTGCGTGTGTGGTGTGATGTAGGCCATGTGTCTGATCATATGTTTGTGTTCCAGCTCCGCCTCAGAGGACCTGGGCTGCAGGCGTGGAGACTTCAGCAGGAAACACTATGGTTCGGTCGAGCTGGTGAGTCCCACCCACAATGCCCCCATCAGCCTGTTGCTCTCTTTGCTTCTCAGTGTGACCGCTCCCTCCCTCCATTAGTTATTTTATTTTATGATCTCCCCTCCCTTCCTATCTGTCTCTGAATCTCTCTGCCATCCCCTCCTGTCTGTTCTCGTGGCTGGACAACAGAGGAGGGGGGTGGCTGATGAGTCACGACACACTGGGTGTGGTCCGTAGCCACGCTGTTCATCACAACAGGTGTGCCACTCGCTGTGACATGCGGCTCCAAAATTCTTGCCTTTTTTAACTCTGCTGGTCTAAAAGTACTGCACAGTGTGGGTTTTTGTGGTTGATTACTAAGATGTTGAGTCACAGCTGCCATAGGGGAAGGCGTGTGTGTGTGTGTGTGCGAGTGTGAGGGTGCATCACTACTAAATGTGAGCTGTACATGCTGATAGCCTGGAGGGGGAGGAAGTCTGTAGAGTGATTGTACTTCCTACCAGAGGCGTATTGAGGGTCTGTCCATGAGTCCCACACACCACGTGGATGATAGATTAGTGTCGCGGAGAAACCACATGCTGCCCTATCAGCACCAGCAGACAGACGCTTCATACAGTGATGCTGCGTGAGACGAGAGCGCATGTGATAAAAGTAGACAGAGAGGGAATATGAGACACCATGATGTCACCAATAACCTCACGTGATCCAAAGCCACCACTACGTTTTGCATCAGGCGGGTCTCTAATGGATTGCTAGACGTGGGCTGTGGTTTGTCCTTAATCTTGAATTGAAGAAGCAGAAAGCTTGAAAGTCTTATACGTGTCATCTTGATGTATTAGTTTGCCGTTCCTGAAGAGTTTACTTCAAATACTAACTATGAGTAGCTTTTCTGCTCATAGTTTTAGGTCGGCAGTTCTGCCATAGTTTTCTTCTTTTTTGGATGATTAATGCAACAGACCTCCAGGGCATGGTAAATATTTGGTATTTTGTTTTATAAAAAAAATTTTTCTTTAAACCTACAGAACTTCATCTGACATATTTTTGTGTTCTTTGGTTTTCCTGATGTTGATTGTTCTCTAATATTTTCTAACAAACCTCTGAGGCCTTCACAGAACATCTGGATTTATACTAACAGTAAATTATGCACAGGTGGACTCTGTCCACAAATAAAGAGACAATTGCTAGCATTGGGTTTTATTTCAAGGTGTCATAGTAATAGGGACTGGGTACAAAAGCATGTCCCACTTTTCAGAAAAGTAATGTGAACACCATGTCCCATTTTCCTTCCACTTTACAATTATGCACTGCTTTTTGTTGTCTCATAAAATCTCAAAAGGTTCTACTGAAATTTGAGATGGCATTGTAAAAAAAAAAAAAAAAAAAAGAGAGAAAAAAAACTCGCAGGGTGTGAGAAGTTTTACAAAGCACTGCTTTGATAATAAGATACAAAGATAAAAAAAAAGACACCTTAAGCCTATTTTTTTAAAAACATAATCTACTATCCTTTTCTGGGATAAAGACATTTTTTCAAGTATCCAATTAACATCACATCAGTACAGATGCTAAGGATGAAGCCAAACTACTCCATGACAGAATCCATGCTGCTCTGCTGCACGGACAGCCTGGCAGGGACCAACTAAAGCCCACTGAAGATTTAGTTGTATTCAACCAACATGACATATATGGATCCTTTGGGTGACTTTGTGAATTTTATGAAAATTCAATGACAAATATGCATGACAAGTGCAGCAGAGCTGGGGGGTTTATGACTTTCTTTGGGAGGAATTGTTTGTTTTACACGTCCGAGTTAATGCACCAGAGCTCATTCAGCTGAAAGCAATATGCACTCTAAACTCATTACAAAAACCATTTCCCTTTTTTTTAATCCAGACAAACAATTACATTTCCTTTCCCACACAAAAGCAAAGATTTAATTTTACTTTGAAATCAAGACTCAAAAATAGAGCGCATGCTTGGCGAGATGCAGTTTTCCTCCCTGAGGTTGTTTCTGATCAGCAGCGTGGGCTTCTCTAGCCCTGTCATTAATTTTCCATTACCCACCTCCTCCTCTAATAAATAAGCCACACAGACTTTTATCCCATCAGTAATGACGTGTGTTAAAAACAGACTCCTGCTGGTGAGGATTATTTATTAAATTTGTGCAGGCCTTGTTATGCTACCTGCATATATTTGAAATTCAAATACCATATAAGTGCTTCACAGAAACTGTGTCAAGAAATATGCTGATCAATTGATATCCAGACAAATCACATGATCTTCTGGCTGATCACTGCAATAATTGTTCTTGAAAAGTAGAGAACAGTTTCTGCAGGTATAGTCCTACTAATGGCTGAAAGGTGATGGCCTAGAAAATAGCATTAACATCTCAATGGAGAAGGTGATTTGTTAGGGTTGTCTGAACTTACATAAACAGAAGCACAATTGAAAACACAGGCATATCAGCCATGCTGGCAAAACTATTCTGCAGCAACCAGGTAACATCTGGCCTTGCAAAGGTTGATAGAAAATCCCAAATCAATCACACATAATGTGTAAATTCTGCATGTTTTTCTGAATATGCTGTTTTCAAAATCTGCTTTTACTTTGGAGGTAACATTCTCAGGTAACGACAGATAACACCCCGTAAACATTCGTGTTCGCAGGATCCACGACAAGAAACAGATGTGCTGCAACAATTTGAATCAAATTATCAGGCAAAGAGATTCAGGAGCGTACAAATTTTTACACTCTGTGACAAATAATTTGTATCTCCAGAAAAAAAAAGCTTATAAAACATCCCGATTCTAGAAAAAGTCACTATGTACAGTCACTGCTTAAAGTAAGGTACGACCTCTTTAAATTTGGGGGGTTTATTCTTATTTAAGAGATTTGGGTAGCTGTATGTGTTTTTACAACCTTTTGGCTCAGTCTGTGTTGTCTTGGCACTTCAGGCATACCATATGGAGAAACTGGCTTCCTACATAGTATGCCAAAGCAGCTTTGCTTTACAAAAAGATGTCTGAAGATGGTGTTCTAATTGCATCATTGACTCCATCCAGCATCAACATAGATAGGTCACATTATAACAACCTTTGTTTGAATGACTGTCAAAGTGCGTTGGCATGTGAATGTGGGTGTATGTGTATTTGTACATGTGGGCAAACACAAGTAAAAATTTGTTTGTGTTCAGAGGGTGTATGTGAGTGAGTCACCTGAAAGCACACAGTTAGTGGTAAGGACGGTAAAAGGCCTGCAACACTCAATACCCAAGAGCTGCAGAGAACAGGTGGACAGACATAAGGCACCACCCCACAGCAACCACAAAGAGACGGGCTGTGAAGCGCGTAGGCAGCCCCAAAGAGGCAAAGAGCATCGAAACCTCCCAACCTTCCCACGCCGCCTTCTGTCAGGCCTGGGATCCAGACCCTAAAGTGACCCGGAACCTGCACAAACTCCCAGAAGTAAGACAGCCCAGCACCAAGTAAGAGAGACGCAAACATGCCGCACTGGCTTGCCGAGGTGGCTGGAGCTCAGAAGAACCAAGGGAGGACGGGTACATTACCACCCCATCTGGTGAGCTAGTTTCAGAGAAGTTTAGAGGGAGGGACTCCAACTATAGCCTAGCTTGGCCCCCCATTGCCCACAGGTAATCCATCACAACCCCGAAAAATATAGATCTTGACATGAGTCCACCAGCCCAGGACAAAGCATTGTCGTTCCCCCAAACTCCCAGTACTCTCTTTTCACCATGATTCAAACTGTTTACATGAGCATGTTGTCTGTTTACATCAACTGCTTAACTGGCACCTCTAAAATACTTACATGTAAATCAGTGGAGTCCGTGAGGACACTGGTATCCTCATGACAAATAAGGGGTTTAAAAATTTGCAACAACTATCTCCTTGAAGACATAAAGGAATAGTACCAAGAAGAGCAGAATTCAGCTTAAATCGGAGCATTATAATCACAAAACATCTACAAAAGCTCTGCTCACCACAACTTACATACACATAAGACAAAACTAACACTACTGTCAAAACCATGCTCCAGACTATCAGTTAGCCCATTTGGACGCAATGTTATTACTTTTAGTTACATCTACAAAACACTTTCTGGTCAGTCTCGTTGATTTTCAAAGTGTGACTCTTGTATTGCACTACTTTGAAATATTTATTCCAAAGTCTGAAAGCCACTGTGAGATATTGATTTAGAGCAGGGTGTTCCTATTAGGGGAGACCAGCAAAAGCCAAGCCATGACTCACCTTGTCTGTTTTATTTTTGGCATCATGGCAGCAGCCAGTAGCCATTGCCAATACAAGGATGCAGCTCTACAGACACAATTGCTGGAGTAGATGATATCATTCACTGTCGTCTTCACAGACTGAGATGCTTTAAAAATATGGCCTTTACCTGTATGTTTGTAGTTTCTATATTTAGACTACCCAAACACGGATTAGTGAAGATACTTGAGTCTCTCGAGACAGATCGAAATTAAGTCAAAAAACAGTTACTGACCAATAGTAACTGGCACACATGAGATACATCCCAATAATAAGATAAGGCTTTTTAGTATTTTAGGGATAAGTAAGAATCCTAATTTTCTGTTTTCACAAATGTTTTACAAATTGGAAGTGTGGCTGTTTTCTAGATTAGCATTCATATTCTTTCACAGATCTGCATTCGCTTGTCCATGCAGAGTTGTTAGAAGGCGCCCACAGAGTACGTACTGGACCAAAAACACCAGCTAAAACTGAAACTGCTTAAACTTCATTCCATTGTACTCTAAGGTCTGTGTTAAAACATTATACTGACCTGCATTAGTTTTACTGAAAAAGAGCCAAATTACCATCGTTAAGCTATAGACAAAAATTAGCTCAATCTATTTTAAAATCATTTTCTGGCACAGTAAGTTTCAAATTACTTTTTTATGAGGGAGTGGTTCTGCAGCATTCATTTAGGAACTGACACTTCACACCACTGGCGTTTTTCTTGCCCTGTTTTTTTTTTTCTTTTTCTTTTTT